ATAAATATTTACTATTATATATTTTAAATGAGTACAAAGAAATAATTTTTATATTCATTTCTTACATATCAAGACAAAAAAGTTTAGTCTTAGCAAAAGGGGGGTTCATTTGGCATCTATTTCTAGTGAAATCTCCATGTATTTCTCTACGAGTCTTTATACAGTTCAACAGATCCATAGGCGCTTTGTTATATTTTATATTGAACATTAAAACGAGGCAATGTAGCAGTCTTCTTTCTTCATATTTAAACTGTTATTTTTCTTTAAAAAGACACTTAAGCGATCATATTTCGATACATTTAAAGCGGAACGAATACATCTTTTCTGTATTTTTTTAATTTTATTTTGAAACTGTTTACTTACATTTTGCATAAGAACACCACCATAATTAAATGGAGAGAGAATGTACGTTTCAATTAATTTTTGCCCTGATTGGTTCACTTAAAAAATATTTGAACCGTAATGCATTTTTAGCTTACCATATACCTTAGCAATGGCCAAGTTTACCTGCCTGGTCCAGGTCAATTCCTCATCGAAAACAATACCTAGATTTTTCACTTCAAACACTCTTTCGATCACTCTTTTATTGATAATAATTGGATCCAGCTGATCACCTTTTACCTTTCTAAGATTACAACGAGATCCAATTAACATAAATGTACTTTTCTCAGCGTTTAATTTTAAACAATTATTTTTTGAATAATCCATTATTCGTTCAAGATTACCGTTTATGTTAGAAATGGATTCTTTTTTTTCATATTTGCAGGAATAATACATTTGAGTATCATCAGCATATATGTGATATCTACTTCTCTCTACAACAGCACCAAGATCATAAACCAACATTTTAAAAAGCAGTGGGTCAAAGACCAAACCCTGGGGCACCCCATTTAGCATTTCATTCCAACAAGATCCCCCACCTGCTCGTTATAACTTTTTGGTATCGGCAACTAAGGTGCGAGAAAATCCACTCAAGTGAGTCATCACAGAATCCCTAAGCCATAGGCTTAGTAAGTTGACGGTTAGCACAGTCAAAGGCTTTAGAATAATCAAGCAGAACAAGAAAAACACATCATGAATTATCAATACATTCATATATATTATCTAAGATGTTTAAGATCGCTGTAATTGTACTATGTGATTATTTATAGGCAGATTGTAAATTGTCAAAATAATTGGTTTCTTTTAAATAATTAATCATTTGCTTTGCAACTAATTTTCTTATTACCTTCGAAACTCCGGCAATAAAATTATGGGTCGTTATTCCGAAGCACAAGTAGGGTTGTTACTTTTGTGTATTGGCTTAACCAATGCATTCTTCCATCAGGTTCGAATTTTTTGTAAAATATAGAATTGTTTATTATATTTGTAAAAGCATATACGGAATGTTTAATTCCTATTTTCAAGAGACAACCACTAATTCCACCTCTATTCCACACGCATTTGGTTTTATTGAACGACCCTCCCTTATTACCTGACACTCACTTCAGAAATAAAAAAAAGATTGGCATAAGGATTTCTTCAAAATTTTATTAATTTCATCAGTAACAATATCATCATTTATCTCAGTATTGTTATTTTAAAAAAATGTTTAATTCAGAAAATTTGGATCAATAATGCAGTGATCTGTTATTACAGCTGGATTCAACCAAGATCAAAGCTTTTTAATGCCAGGTGAAATTGCCTAGCATCTTTAAATTTTGCATTGATTCTTTTGTTGAAGATCTTAATCTTGGCTTTTCTAATTGAGTGGGATACGGCATTACGAAGGGTTTTTATATATTGTTCAATTTCTGTCTTTCTGTCCACATTAAATTTATTTTTATATTTATCTCCAATATTCATTTTTTTTTTCATATAATGTATGGTGTTGTATGGTCCGGGCTACTCTTTTGACTGAAATAAAAAAAAAATATTAATGAAATTCTACCACTTATATATGTGATTGAATAAGTCACAAACATTATCTCTGCTTATTTTGATCATAATCCTTCGTATTCACGAATAGTTTTCCATATATTTCAATTGAATAAGGCAAGAAATGCACTGTAACAGCGAGAATCACTTTTATTACCCAAGTACTTTCCATTTCTTTCTCAAATCATAATCAAGGGTGCAGACATAAACAGTGTAAAAACATGTGCAGCTATCCATTACTAAATTTTTCTTTTGAGTTTAAATGACAGTTATGTTTTAGCGTTCATTAAAACGCGAATAGTAATCCATTCGAGAATTTTTCTTTTAATTTGAATGTTATGGTCCGAGATCAGTTTTTTGTACGTGCTACTCGTTGAAAGCCAATGTTAGAATGAAAAAGAAAGATTCAAGCATGATACGCAGATCGGAATGAAGCAGCTTCCGATTGGTTCTTTTTTCAGCCAGTCACATGAATCGTTGTAACAATGCCAAGGGGCCCGGTCATAGGGAGCTACTCCGAAAACCTCGTAATATTTTCAATAATGTAGAATGGTTGAATTCGAATCAATATTTTTACTGTCTTTAAATGCTTTATTCTAATGAAACTTTTCATTCTCTCATATCTTACTTTGTCGATGTTTTTTCTTTCCGAAAATCCTCATTTGTACTGTTTTTCTCTGATTTGTTCTTTCCGATTCTCTCCTTGTCTTTTTTCATCTATAGTGTTTATTAGTCCCCTCGTTTCAGCATTATTTAGCATATCACCTTGTATTTTTACATCACCTGTATTTTCAGTTCTAATATTCATTAATTCTAATTCATTATTCACTTTAGTCTTAACATTTTCTTTGAACTCAGCGAGCTCTGCGTTAGTCAACCGATTTTCTTTAATAAATATTACTTTTATATTCAGTAGTATCTATATTCTCGCTGATGTTCTTTATTTTATCTTTTTTATTTGTAATTTTATTTTTTTTCTGATCACCTTTTTTGTTCTTCGAGTTGGATATGTTGTTTCAAGGTCTCTGTTAACATATCATTTTATTGTTTTATATTATATTTACGTTTCATGTTAAAGTATTTCTTGCTTTTCCTTTTATTATTTGTAATAATTCATGAGAGGTCTGTCCTCAAAACATCAATCTCTTTCTCTCTTGTTTTACCATAATAGCGATTTATGTCTATTCATTGAGATAGCTTTTGTTTTACTAAGTTTTTGCATTGGTGTTTTAACAACTAGTGTAACCCGGATATAAGAGACCCGGATATAAGAGAAACCCGGATATAAGAGAGATTTTCTCTGGTTCCAAATTAGAACCTGTGTTAATGTAAACAAAATAGACCAAACCCGGATATAAGAGAAACCCGGATATAAGAGACTTCTTCTCCGGTCCCAACAACTCTCTTATATCTGGGTTACACTGTACAATTTATAATTTTTTAATATTTTGTTCATAATTGATTATATCATGAAAATCTTTAATAAATATAAATAACAAGATAAACATATAATGAACAATTTATAATTTACATAATAAAGAAGTGGGGGCTGAAAACTTATTATCCTATTTCCAGAGTGTAAACAAACACCAGAATTTTATTCTTTTTGGACAGACTACTTTATCAAGTCAGTAAATTTTTAGCACAAACATTTATTTTATGATCAGTTTTAAAAATAGAGACAGTCAATTTAAAAAAAAGAAAAAAAAACTGTCAATTTTCAGTGGTTAAGTTATAACATTAAAAATGAATTAATATTTTCGGTCTACACATTAATTTTATTTTATATATGGACAGAATTTAATTCCACACAACATGTCTTGAAACAATTATTAACCAATTCATGAAAATATTACATGCATAAAACTATATCTTTCTGCCATTTCTGTGTATACAAGGTATATATCTCCAAATGTAATGAGAATGAAAATAATATAAATTCTAATGTTCACAGCATTAATTCAAAAAAGAGCTCAATACCAAGGGTATAGCAATAATTATTTATTATAGATTTTTACGTGCAGACAAAAACAATTACTCACTACAAAGATGCATTCTTGTTTCAATGCATTATTGACTGGTGAGAACTAAAAATGCTTATGGACAATTCTAATAAAAAATAACCCAAAAATAACAAAAAAAAAAAAATTAGCTTACTTTATGTAGAGTGGTTAAATTCAAATCAATAGTTTTACTATTTCTTTAATTGATTTCTTCTAATGATACTTTTCGTTATTATGCCATGCCTTTGTCGGTTATTACCTTAATATTGATTTATGCATATTTTTTGGTTAGCTTGTGTTTTCTTAGGTATTTGCACGGTTGTTATGATTACTGCAAAAATGTATATTATTTTATTTAGATTGTTATTTTATAACAGGGGGGGTTACTGAGTGTGAAAGAACAAGAAAAAGAAAACATTACTAGAACAATAAACGAAAAGGAATCAAGAAGACAGTAGACAACAATTGGCATTGCATTTAAATTTTTGAAGATGAAAGTTGGCTGGAAAGCAAGAAGCCAGAAGAGAGTTTCACATTTGAGAAGCACGAGAAAAGAAAATGTTATCAAAGAACTTACTGTTACATCTAGCCATTTCAACTGTAAAACAATGAAAACTTGTTGCTAATCTAGTACTGTGCCTAAATTCGTAAAGACTAGGTAGCATAACGGAAAGTTCATCAGAAGAAATAACATGAATTTATCTATAGAAAAGATACAAGAAAGCTACATCACGGCGATGGTAATGTGACTGATACCAAAATGCCAGGTTAGGACCAATAACATTACAGATTGTTTTTGGTATTTTATCAAAAATCTCTAAATATATAACAGGAGCATCAAACTCAAATCCGTATTTTGTGCAATTACTTTATTTTTTTTTATCTGTTATTACAATAATGTTTTTCATTTTTCTATTATGTCATATTTTGCGCATTTTTTCTATTTCTTCCATATTCTCTTGCTAGTTCTTCTATGATTTTTATTTTCATCTTCTCATCTCATTACTTATTTATAACCTTTTTTTTTTCATTTCTTAACATATATAGTTGTCTCTGGTGTTTCTCTTGTCCATTTCTCACATGTATTGTTTATTAGTTTTTCATTTTCGTTGTAATTCATTATATCAACATATGATTAAATATCTTTAATTTTTACTTCTAATATTCGCTAAACTCTAACTGACTGTTCATTTCCTTCGAGATCATCATGTTATTAGTAGTTTTTCTTTAATATTATTTCTTTGTTACCTTGCTTATTAGTATGTCTATTTTCTTTAGTATTCGGCAATGTTATTCTCCATATTCTACGTATTTTATTAGTAAGACTATACTTTTAACATGTGTGTAGGTATATGTGCTCATAACTTCCTTATAATGTTATCTAGTCTGTTTGACTCTTTCTTTCCTTTACTTGTAGGTAGGATTTTTGTCGAGATGAACTGTCGTTTGGACTCATCCATTAGTGCTATATATATTACCATTACTTGAAGGAACCATATTTTTCAATCTCATGCTGATTTACCCTTGAGGTCACAATAAATAGTAAACCGCGCGGCGGTCGATAGAAAATAAAGTTTTTGTAAGTACCATTAATAATTATAATGTTTCCATTTTACCCTTTGTGGCAACAGGTGCTTTGTTCGTGACATGAATTTTTACTTACTTATTCATTCATAAATAAGCTTGAAACGTTGCAATTCTGTGTTTCTTAATCACAGAATCATTTTAATTATTTAGTGCATTAAGCTATAGATTCTCACAGAAAGCATAGGCTTAAAGGAAAACTTATGATCATTTTCATTTCAATACATTCCATTAAAAACTGCTGGTTGTTTCAGGTTTAATAGAAAATGCCTTAATAAAATGTTATTTAGCCTTCTTAAAGCTCTTAGAATATCTTTGTTAAAAATTTATGGTTGCTTCAGGGTTGATATAAAAAAGCCTCAATAAAATATAACTTAGACACGAAATGATCTTTGAATATCTCGTTTAAAAATGTTTGCTTGCTTCAGGATTCATATTAAAAAAAAGCCTTAATAAAATAGTAATTAGTCCTGAAATGAAAATCTCCCTTAAAATTTTTTTGCTTGTTTCAGGCTTGATATAAAAAGTCTTAATAAAATATTACTAATCTTTGAATATCTCCCTTAAAAAAATTCTTAAGGCTTAACATAAAACACCTGAATACAATATTACATAACCGTCAAAATGATATTTGAATATCTCTGTTAAAAACTGCTGAGTACTTCAAACTTAACAAAAAACACCTCAATAAATTATTACTTAATATCTGAAATTAGTTTTTCGAATATTTCCGTTATAAACTGCTGGTCGCTTCAGGTTTAATAGAAAATGCCTTAAAACAATATTACTTAGCCGCCGAAATTATCTTAAAAAACTAAACTGCTTAACATTAAACGCCTGAATACAATATTACTTATACCCCAAAATTAGATGTCTATCGCCTGGCCAGTACTCCTTTCATATTTATTAGAAAGGAGTAGAGGTTTATCTCCTGTTTCCTGTTTAGGATATAGTTTAACGATACCTTTCATGGTCATAATAATTTTAACTGTATTAATTTTTTTGTGATCTTACTGATCAAGAGCTACGACTTTTCATGAGGGTACCAGGTTGGAAGTTTTCTGGTTGCTGGATCCTGGCTGATAGTAAGTAGCCCTAACTCTTTGGTAACGCTTAGAGAGGCTGCTCTGATCAACAGTCGCATAATATCGGGGTATTTGCAGTGCGATGTCGAGCATGGATAGATGTCCCAACATTTACTTTCCGTGGGCACATTACACTTAAGTCTTAGCAAACTTTTGACCCCTTTTTTTTGTATTGACATAGACAATGGATAGTGATAAGTATTTTTGCCTTTTTCTTCTTAAAACATTATCTTCTTAGGATAGATACAATGAAAAGAAATAATAGTAAACCAGTAAACAAAACATCACCTACCTCCTCAACCTTTCTTTTTCCAATATCCATGGCATTCTGGCCAGTTTCTGTAATGTAGAATCTTTTCTGTTGAAACTAATTTAAATTATTCTATCAAGGAATTCCCTCTTCCAGGCTATCTTCTTTTTTGCCGAAAAGATTCTAGGATACATATGTATGGCCTCCTTTTTTATACCTGGGAAAATATTGGCAAGGAATTGTCCCCAGATGATTCATTTTTGTATTAGGTGATTTTAATGCTCATCACGTCAAGTGGCTTAATACTTTTAATGTTACTGATAATGTAGATATTCAATTTTTCCGTTCCTCAGTAATCGTATGAGTTATTTTCTACTTAGCCTCTGAAATATTATTTATTTATAATTATTATAATTGGAGCGAAAAGAAGAAAGGTAATTTTTTGCAAATGTCATAAATAAAACTTGGAACATGAGATGTTTAATAAAACCTAAGAAATTGACTAAGAGAAGCCAGTAAATCACATGTTGGATAATCTTGGCTCCTATCTATTTTCCACAAAGGAACACATAGTTTTTGACGTACTTTTACTGAAGGTACTTTTTAATCTAGCTGACTAAAACTCATTGGAAGGAAAATACTTTTGACGAATTATTGATTAAAAGTTAAAAGTTCCGGAAAAATAAAAAAATATCGTTTGAAATCCGTTTGCAGTGTAATTTAAAAATAATCTTATTCTTTTTTTAAGTTTCAAATATTTTTATTTATTTATTTTGGCAGCAGAGTCCTTGTTACTTCGTGTGATAGGGCGAATAATTTCAATAATTAATTTTAAATTTTGCCGAATAGAAAAAGATATTTTTGGAAAAGACTAAAACATAAGAATTCTTTTCAGATGAAATTTTCTGATTGGCTTAGGATGAATGTTTAGTTGACATAAGATGCTCTTTCCTACATTGTCTGGGGATGGTAAGAGAGATATGAGCCAACTGAATTATGAAGTAGCAAGATAAAGACTGAATAAAGGAGCGGTTAGTCAAATTTGGTCTAAGGTGAGAAGTAATCGACTAATAAATAAAAACAATCAGAAACCCTAAAGACTTTAAACTCTACCCACGCTCCCAATGATCCTTAATATAAAACTGTCTTTTTTAACCTTCGGGCATTTGTAGATTGGACCGTTGATATATCAGACTCTGACCGTTTTCTGCTTGAAAATCCCTCGACACTCTTATCTGCAAAATGAATTGTTCAGCTGCATAATTACTAGAGATTCTAACTTACAATTTCAGACGGAGTTCAAATTAAAAATAAGTGGACAAATTTTCCTTGTCGATATCAACTTTTTTTTTACGTTTGCTGCTACATGTTTCGTTGTTGTTGTTTTTTTAGGAATAGCTAGGTGACTGACACTTATCGTAAGAAAATACAGCGCCTAAACTAGTCACGGGTTAATTCGACGTTGTAAGCCGGACTGAATGAATTAACGCATTATACTTTAAGCAGGTGTTTTCCCGTCATTTTCATCTGTCCGTTTTTCTCTTGTGCGTCAACAAGTACATTTAATAGAAACTTATATATACCCATCGCTTGTTTTCATATGTCTGACTTAATGCGTGTGCATTTATTTGTAAAAGTGTTTGGATATAAACTGAGGTGCCAAAAAATTAGAGAAAACTGCAATCTACTTGGTTTATCCAATAATTGTAAAAAAAAAAAAAAAATAGATTCAGCTAGATGACCTACGAATGTTGTTATAGGTAAAGTGGGTAATGTAGTTGTGGCAGCTATAAAATGCGGATAAGAATTAACCCGAATTAACAACGAACTAACTATTGGAGTCAGAAATATGGGACACAATCTCCAATGTGTCAACTGCTATAGGTTTTTATCAGGTAAATGTTTCAAGTAAATAGCCATAACATGTGAATTCCGATCAAATAACAACGGTACGTGATGCCTGTGATGGACAAGGATGGTAACTATTTAACGAGGGGAAATATCCAATCAAATCACAACCAAATTCAACACTAGTGTTGCATAACGTATTAGTTATCACACTGGATGGCATATACTACCTTCTAGAGGATTTCCCAGTTGTTGACCAACAATGATAATAGTATTATAAGCCATTTCCTTATAGGCAAATATTCGGCATTCACTGACCGAGCAGCCAGTACTATTTTCAATTGAAATTTGTAAATCTTTTTATTAAAACAACATTTCGGAGAAATCGATTTCTCAAGTCCAGTAACTAATATTGTTCTTTCCATTAATGATAGGAGGTTTCTTCCTAACATTTTGTTTGTTGTATTCCGGATCGACAATATCTTATATCATTATTTTCTTTCCGAGTAAGATGTACTATCCATTTTAGTTGTTGATGTTGTTGAAAGACTTAAATTATGTGGTTTCTGTTATTTGGTACAGTTCTTTGTTTGTAATTGTGTATCATCAGTCCACAAAATTCGAAGATGCATGGTCCTCTTTAAGAACTACAGACTTCATTTGCTCGATGCCATTTTAACCAATTATCTGAAAAAAAAAACGGTCGTATACAGCTGACAATTTAGATATTTCTGAACGAGTTTGGCTCCATACTTAACATCCATATTCAAATCTTGATATGATGAGGCTATTTAAGAACATAACCAGAGATTTTAGTTTAATTTTTGGTTTTGTAGCAGCTTACGGTGTTGGGGGAAACTATCCCTAGCGCAGCTTGTTCTATGTTCAATCTTATTCTCTTCTTCTATATTAAATTTAGTATAAGTGATCCATTCACGGAGATATTTGAAGTGTTTATTATTTACTAATTTCACATAGTACCACAATATCAATTACTGCATCCCACTGAACAAGTGAATATTGGCACTGGACTGTAGAAGATTAACGTCTTGTTACCCGATCAAACAAATCACGTTTTTTAGTTCTTTTGATTAAACTGATGAGTTTTGTGTTCCCTGGAGAGCACACGAGACTCTTGATTCATCCGATCGGAAAGATGATGTGCAAATTGGTGTTGGCTTTGTAATAGTGTGGGTGTGTATTCTGCTAAAGTTCGCATGTTTCCCGATAGTATTATTTTAGTAAGATAGTGCAACACCATCGTCGCACACAATTAACACTTTGATTTCCGGTTACTCTATGACAAAGCATTGCTTGCTAGGTTGCCCGGGGATGTAACAGTAAGAGATAGAT